TTTGCAGAACCGGGGATTGAACTCAGGCCCTTGCACTTGCCAGGGAAGTGCTTATTCCACTGAGCCATCTCCCCGGCCCCTTTTTTTATTTTATTTATTTATTTTTTTTTTTAATCAGCTCTACTATGGAAAGAGGGTACTCTACGCCCTCTACTGTCAGGTAGTATATGACACATGATCTATAACTTGGTGCTTCTACCTTCTACTTCAAAGGGAACACAGTAAATAGAGAAACAAGACAAATGATACCCATGAGGAAGCAATCACACAAATACATAACATAGATATTCTGTAGGCCAATATTAGATAGGCTGATTTTACAAGATATAAAAATGTTAAATTGCTTATAAGTAAAAATGTTCATTTTCATTATACATACATATTAAAATATTTAAGAATATACTGTCAAGGGGGCAGGCAAGATAGTTCAGCGGACTAAAGCAGTTGATCCCTGGCACCACATGCCCTGCCAGCCCTGGGTGGGCTGAGCCAGCCAGAGTTCCAGTGTGGTGCATACACCTGTAACCCCAGAGCACTGGGAAGGCTGAAAGCAGGAGGACAACCAAAAGTATGAGCTGTGTAGTAAGACCTTGCAACAACCAAATATATATATATATATATATATATATATACACACACACACACACACACACACACATACACATATAGTCAAAAATGCCTTGAGGAGGCTGGGGAGATAGCTCAGCAGAAGAAGCATCTGCCTGATAAGCACAAGGTCCTGAGTTTGATCCCCAGTTCCAAAACAAAAAATGCCTCAAGGATTAGAGATGCACCTTGGTGGTAGAGCACTTGCTTAGCATGCCCCAGGCATGTTCAATCTAAACAACACAAAACCCAAAATCCCTCTAATTTATTTTCCTTTTTTAAGGCTCAGTCCTAGCCTCTAATTTACTTTAAAATATTTCAGTTCAAAAATAAAGGGGCCAGGGAGGTGGCTCAGTGGAATAAGCACTTCCCTGGCAAGCACAAAGGCCTGAGTTCAATCCCCAGTTCCGCCAAAAAAATAAATAAATAGAAATATAATATGTTAAGCACATTTCAAGTGGGCATGGTGGTGTACACCTATAATCCCAACACTAGGGGGTGCTGAGGCAGGAAGAGTGTCATGAGTTTGACTCTAGCCTGGGCTACATAGTGAGTTTAAGGCCAGCCTAAACTACAGACCAAGATTCTTGTTATGAAAATTATTTATTGTTGTTTTAAAACAGGATAAACCATCCTTGATAGTGTTCAACTATAATCTAAGCTTTATAAAGTCGAATCAGGGAGATAGCTCAGTAGAATAAGCACTTGCCTGCCAAGCGCAAGGTCCTGAGTTCAATCCCCAGTGCCACAAAACAAACAAACAAAAAAACTTGTTACTAAACTTTAGAAAGTCGAGGTAGAAGGACTACGGAAGGCCAGCCTAGGCAACTCAGTAAGGCTCTGTCTTAAGATAAAATTTAAATGGCAGGGGATACGGCATACTGGAGAAATGTATGCACTGCATGCATGAGGCCCTTGGTCCAACCTCTAGTAATCCCTTTGCCCAAAAAAAGGTGTCTTCCCCGCTGCCAGGCAATAGGGGGTAGTACTAAGCTATATTCCCCAGACATACATAAACACACTATGCACCTTTTTTTTTTTTGTAAATTTTGAGACAATGTCTCACTAGGTCACCAAGGCTAGGGCTCAAATCTTTAAGCTGTTTCAGCTTCCCAGAGTACTGGGATTTATTTATTCACTTTCCTCATTGAACTGTTTTTATGGGACTCAAAATTCTGTGACAGATTTTTGATCAAGTTGATTTCATTAAAAAGTGCTCATTTTGCTAGGGAGATAGCTCAGCAGCATAAGTGCCTGAGTGGCAACCGCCAGAGTTCAATCCCTGGTACCCTCCCCCGCAAAAAAAATGTTGATTTCAAAACTAGTAACTTAAAAACTGCCACACACACACACACACACACACACACACACACACACACAAAATGGTCCACAGAACACTCTCCTTTCCTTCTTTTTTTTTGCAGAACCGGGGATTGAACTCAAGACCCTGTACTTGCCAGGCAAGCGCTTATTCTACTGAGCCATCTCCCCAGCCCCTCTCCTTTCCTTCTGAAATTTTCATAATGCATCATTATCTTTGTTTTTTGTTTTTTGGGGTTTTTTTTTGGCAGAACCAGGGACTGAACTCAAGCTCTTGCACTTACCAAGGAAGCGCTTTTTCTACTGAGCTATCTCCCTGGTCCTGCATCATTATCATTAACCAACCTTTCTTTCTTTTTTGTGGTGCTGGGGTTCGAACTCAGAAACTTGTGCTTGCCACCCATACACTTATGCCACTGAGCTATATCCCCAGCCCCCAGTCTTTCATTATTAAACTTAAATGGCCAATTCAGAAAAACAGTTCTGAGAATCGTCTTCCGCCACTGATTAAGACGGGTGGCAGATGCTATGGTTAATATTTATTTAGACGTCTGAGCTTTTCTGGGCAGACTTGATGACCTTGCCAGCTCCAGCAGCCTTTCTATCCACTGCTTTGATGACACCCACAGCAACCATTTCATTTCAAACAGCAAAATGACCAAGAGGTGGACAGTCAAAGAAGCTCTTGACACACATGAGTTTCCCTGGAACCATGTCAAAAATGGCTGCATTATCAGATTTTAAAAATTTGGGCCCATCTTCCAACTTAATCAGACAGGCTATCAATCTTTTCTTTCAGCTCAGAAAACTTGTAAGCAATGTGAGCCATGTGACAATCCAGTAGAGGAGCATAGCCAGCACTGATCTGGCAGGATTGTTCAGGGTAATCACCTGAGCAGTAAAACCAGCTGCTTCCATTAGTGGGTCATTTTTGCTGCACCAGCAACACTGCCACAATGGATGAACACCTTTGATAGACACATTCTTGACATTGAAGCCAACACCATCCCCAGGAACAGCTTCACTCAAAGCTTCCCAGTGCATTTCAATAATTTATTTCAGTTGTGACATTGACTGGAGCAAAGGTAACCACCATGTCAAGTTTGAGAACACCAGTCTCTATTGGCCCACAGGGACAGTACCAATACCACCAATTTTGTAGACATCCTGGAAGGGAAGCTGCAAGGCGTGTCAGTTGGACAAATGGGTGGAAGGATGCAACCCAAAGCTTCAAGCAATGTGGTTCCACTGGCATTGCCATCTTCACAAGTTACCTTTTATCCTTTGAACCAAGGCACCTGGCTCCAGCACGTCATTACCATTCCACCCAGAAAAGCTAGTGTGACCAAGGTTGTAGATTATTTTCTTAACATAGGTGCTGACTTCCTTAACAATTTCCTCGTATCTCTTCTGGTTGTATGATGGCTCAGAGGAATCCATTTTGGTAATATTAGCAATTAGTTGTTTCACACCCAGTGTGTAACCCAGAAGGGCATGCTCACAGGTCTGCCCATTCTTGGAGATACCAGCTTCAAATTCACTAACACCAACAGCAACAATCAGGACAGCACAGTCAGCCTGAGATGTCCCAGTAATCATGTTTGTGATAAAAGTCTCTATGTCCAGGAGCATCTATCATGGTCACATAATACTTGCTGGTCTCAAATTTCCACGAAGAGATGTCAACATACCATGCTCATGGTTGGCTTTCAGTTTGTCCAAGATCCAAATATACTTGAAGGAATGCTTCCCAATCTCAGTAGCCTCCATATTAAATTTTTCAATGGTTCTTTTGTTGATGCCACCACATTTGCAGATCACACAGTAGTGGACTTGCTGGAATCCACATGTCCAATGACGATGATATTAATGTCTTTTAGTTTCCCATGTTGGCTTTGACTTAATGGTGGTGTTCACTACAATTGTGCTCTTGTGGCAAACCCATTGCAAAAAATATTTTTAGTGCTGGGATTTAATAAGCAAAAATCCCCATGTTTACGCAATTTATTTTCTATCCTATGTTTCTAACATTGCAGCATAATATTCACAAATCACTAAGCACTCTTTGGAGGCAAAGAGGAGGGCTACGAATATAGCTCAGTGGTGCAAGTACAAGGTCCTAAGTACTATTTCTCATGTAAGGAAGACAGACAGGCAGGCAGGCAGGCAAACCAGTAAAAAGGAATGTATATACATATATATACTAACTCAGAAGGTGCAGGCTCATTAATACATTTCTTGAATGAATAATACCGGATTTTAAAAAAACAAAAAGAAAAACATCTCAGTTAAGGAAATATTGTCTCCTGGAGGTAAAATATGACACTGCAACCAAAATACCATAGCTATCTCTTTAAACGAATGACTGCTGAAAATGTTGGCTCATACCTTGTGTGTTTGTTCCTGTACCTTCTTTTGCTTTTTCTTAGGTGCAAATATCTGATCATATTCTTCTGTATATTCCAGAAGCCACTTGCTTGGTTTCCTAAGCCGTTTCTTCTCTGACCGCACAGCTAAAAGGAGAAATATGTTCAGTACTAACTAAAAAGCTACAGTAGAACTGCCTTCATGAAATAAATCATCACCACACTCTTAGAAATAGCAAGATGGGAAACCAGCTAACCAAAAGATTCTGGCTTGAGCAGAAAGAGACTCAAAATGTAATGCAGTGGTTTATTACATGTAAAAGCTATTATATGTTAAAGGTTTGGGGATTTTTTTTAAGACGTATTTTAAAATTTTTTTTCTGTTTTATTTATATTTGTGTGTGTGTGTGTGTGTGTGTGTGTGTGTGTGTGGCCAGCTCAGCCCACCAGGGGGCGGGGCTGGCTGGCATGTGGTGCTGGGGGATCGAACCGTGGTCCCTGTGCTTTGCTAAGCTTGTTTTAAGTAGGTGCTTTAGACCACTGAGCCATCTCATCAGCCCCTTGTTTTTGTTTTTAAGGCCAAATCTCACCATACACTTGAGTATGACCTTACACTCACAGTAATTCTCCTGGCACAGGTTCTCAAGTACTGCAATTACAGATGTGTGCAACCATACCTGCCTCTGACATTTTTGTTTCTCTCTACAAATAGATGAATTCACATACATATATAAACACACAAGCATGCACACACAATTATCCTATCTTGGAAAAAAAAAAAATTTAAAGTATTATTTTGCAGGAACTGACACCAGTACAAAAGTCTCTGCGTGGTAAATATGAATACCGTTTCTATTTTCCGAATATTTTTAATCCACAGCTGTGTAGATCACACAGGAAAAAGGGGGCCAAGTTGATGAACAATGGACTATTCTAAATTACACATCTGGGGGCTGGGGAGATGGCTCAGTAGGATAAGCACTTGACTGGCAAACGCAAGGATCTGAGTTCAATCCCCGGTTCCGCCAAAAAAAAAAAAAAAAAAAAAAAATTACACATCTGGATTTTGCAGATTAGGTAGACATTTAGATAGAATATTTACCTAATCAGTACTACCACATGAATTTCAAAATTATTTTATAATCATTTCATCAATACTATATTATTACACAGTTTCATATTAGAAATCTAAATATACATGTTATGGTTTGTATCTAGGTGTCCCCCAAAGCCTGATGTAGTCACTGGGGCTGGTTTTTAGAGTTCATCATAAAAGTCATGATCCAATGCTTGGATTACGGGTTACTACTGGGATTATGGGTGAGTGCTACACTCGCCCTGGGGCAGATAGCCTGAAGGCAATATTGAGAGGCTTGCCTCTCCCACTGCTGCCACTGCTCTTCCCTTTTTGTTTGCTGTTTTGTTTTCCACCACCATGAACTGCTGTGCTCTGCCATATGCCACTCTTAGAGCCAGCTGGACTGACACTTCCACAAACTGTGAGCTTTTCTTCTTTAATTTTAGGTATTGGGTACTTTGTCCCAGGAATGAGAGAAAAGTAACCAACACAATACTTCTGAACAGGGGTTCTGGAGATAGCTCAGCTGTATAAGCGCCTGCCTAGGCAAGCACAATGACCCAGGTTTGATCCCTGGTTTGACATGCTGGGCTGGCACCCTGCACAGAGCCACTGAAATTGGGTGTGGGGGCACACACCTGTAATCTCAGAACTGGGGAGGCTGAAATAGGAGGATCACTGAGTTTGAGCTGTGGAGTGAGACTCTGTACCAAATATATACAATTAAAAAAAGAAAAAATACTTCTCAACAGAATTATTAAAAAAAAAATGCATCTCATAATCTCAATGTCATAAAAAGTACATGCTATATATGTGACAGAGTAAGTATAGTAGTCCTTCAGTAGCCACAGAGGTTTGATTCCAACAGCGCTTGCAGAAATCAGAATCTACAGATACTCAAGTCCCTAATATGTAATGGTCTATTTCCATATGTATAGTCTCCTCATACTTTAAATCATTTCTAGATAACTTGTAATACCTACTATAAAATAAATGCTAGGGGAGATGGCTCAATAGAATTAGTGCTTCCCTGGCAAGCGCAAGAGTCTGAGTTCAATCCCCGGTTCCGCAAAAAAAAGAAAAAAAAACAGTTTACTATAAAGGAAATGCTATACAAGTATTATACCATACTGCTCAGGGAATACTGACAAGAAAGTAAGGTCTGTACATGGTGAATATAAACAGTTTCTATTTCCCAAATATTTTTGATTCACAGTTGCAAAGAACATAGAATACAGAAGGTCAACTGGAGGGCCAGCCTGATAGCTCAGTGGACTAAAGTGCCTGCTTAGGCAAAGCACAGCGGCCGGGGTTCGATCCCTGTTGTGCCGAGGCATGCTGAGACAACGATTGAGACTGGGTGTGTGGCGTGCAATTGTAATCTCAGTGCTCGGAAGGCTGAAAACAGGAGAATCACTACAAGTCCAATCTGCTATATAGTGAGACCCTGTACACCCTGTAGACCCTGTCCTAAATACACACACAAATAAATAAATAAACAGACAAACAGAAGGCCAATTGGGTAATATTTTTCTTTAATTAATGGTGCAAACAAAGGTCTATTACAATTTCCCTATAAAACTTCACCCTAGTTTAAAATCACTTAATATTATCATTTTATTATGTTGTAAACTCTTTGGGAGCTAAGGCTAATGCCTCCATCAGGCAACATGTGGTCTCACCAGGAAAAAAGTATTTCACAAATGATATACCTTCACAGAAAGCTGTTTCTTTCTACAACCAATGTGTTATCATTGATACTTTTCTCAATAAAATGAAATGAGCCTGGTTATTCCACAATGAGATCCTGTCTCTAGTGCTCAAAACAGGAAACAGAAAAAAAGAAAAAGCAATGGAAGCAAGCAAATGGAATTTGAGACTAAAATGAAAAAAGTCACAGGCATCAAAAGCTTCACAAAGCTTTTACTCCTAAGACAACAAACACACGGAAATAAGCCATAAAATCTTTCATTAGGGCAAGATGTGAAAGTTGTTTTTTTTTGTTTTTTTTTTTTAAACTAACCCTAACTACTGTAATTTCATAGTAGTAAATAACAGCAACAGACATTTTATAGAAAGTTAAATTTTAGGACTAGGGAGATAGCTCAGGAGAATAAGCGCCTGCCTGACAAGTGCAGGGTCCTGAGTTCAATCCCCAGTATCTCAAAAAAAAAAAAAAAGTTATATCTTAAAAACAGAAACAGTGATCTGCCTGGCAAACACAAAGTCCTGAGTTTGATCCCTGATACAAACAAAGAAAAAAAAAAAAAAAATCAATAGTACTAGCTAAAACAAAAACTAATGGAATTTTCCTAAATATTCCAAGCTAGATGATACAAATAGAGTTGTTCACAAGCCAATTGTTTACCCCCAAATAATAGTATCTAAAAAACTTGTTCTGTACAAAAGAAACCAAAACACATTTTGTTCTGTTTTGGGTTTTTTGGCAGAACCAGGGCTTGAACTCTGGCCCTTCTGCTTGCCAGGCAAATGCTTATTCTACTGAGCTATCTCCCTGGCCCCCAACATTTTGGAATAAATATTATATACCTATGTCAGTTAATAGTCATTATTCTATATTGTAAACCAAGTAAATTAAATTTCACTAAGGTTCAACTTTTCAAACACCAGTAACATTTAATAGTAAAAATAACAAAAAACCTCAAGAAAATAATTTTACACAATGGAGATTTATAATCTCCATGCAACAGTTTAACCATTAGAATCTCTAATCCTTACTTTGCTTTGACCTTCCTGGAAAGTAATGATATCCTCTATTTATATATAATGTAAATTCCTGATGGGATTCACAACTGAATTCTACAAGAAATTCACAAAGGATATAATCCCTGCACTCTCAAGCTCTTCAAAGAAATTGACAAGAAAAAGAGTTCTCCCAAAATCATTCCTGGAGGCTAGTATTATACTGATACCAAAACCAGGGAAAGACACAACTTAAAAAGACAACTACAGGCCAGTATCATGAACATAGATGCCAAAATCCTCAATAAAACCCTAGCAAATAGAATGCAGCAAATCATCAAGAAGATCATCCACCATGACCAGGTAGGATTCATTCCAGGGATGCAAGGATGGTTCAATATTCGAAAATCTATAAATGTAATACACTGTATCAATAGAGCAAAATCTAAAAACCACATGATCATCTCAATTGATGCAGAAAAGGCTTTTGACAAAGCCCAACACTCATTCATGTTCAAAGTCCTACAGAAAAATGGAATAGAAGGCCTCTACTTCAATCTGATAAAAGCCATCTATGACAACCCAACAGTTAATATAATTCTTAATGGGGAAAAACTGAAATCTTTTATTCTCAAATCTGGTACAATACAAGGATGTCCTCTATCACCACTCCTCTTCAATATAGTTCTGGAATCATTACCTAGAGCCATTAGACAAGACAGAGAAATAAAAGGAGTAAGAATAGGTAAAGAAGTGAAACTATCATTATTTACAGATGACATGGTACTTTACTTGGAAGACCCAAAAAAACTCCACCAAGAAGCTACTGGAATTGATACACAAATTCAGTAGCATAGCAGGACACAAAGTCAATACCCAAAGGTCAATAGCATTCCTCTACACAGATAACACACACAGAGAGGGAAATTAGAGACTCAATACCTTTTACAATACCACCACGAAAAATGAAATACCTTGGAATTCATTTCACTAAAGAAATCAAAGATCTTTTCTCAGAAAATTACAGTAATCTGAAAAAAGAGATCATAGAGGATTTCAGAAAATGGAAAGATATTCCCTGCTCCTGGATAGGAAGAACCAACATCGTGAAGATGGCCATACTCCCAAAATTGTTGTACAGATTTAACACAATCCCTATCAAACTACCACCAACATACCTCCCAGACCTACAGAAATCATTCCTAAATTTATTTGGAATGAAAAAAGACCTAAAATAGCAAAAGCAATGCTGGCCAACAAACACAAAGCAGGAGGCATTACAATTCCTGACTTAAAATTATACTACAAAGCTACAGTGATAAAGTCAGCATGGTACTGGCAAAAAAACAGACCTGAGGATCAATGG